ATGTCTCTCCATCTCTCATCATAATCATTTATTTTTTGTATGCATCTAAGGGCTACAGCCTACAAATGAAAGTCCACCACCACACGTCTTCCTTTAATATTTTTGCGCCACTGTTACATAAAATTTGCTATAACTTTGTAAACAAAATAGAAAAGCAGAGCACATGTCTGGGACCATCTCAAAGTATAGTTTTTGGTGATCATAAAGTACTCAAATTTCTTGGCAAAGATAACAAAAATTACTGGGAATTATCTTGAAAGTTAAAGATTTATGCATGTGATTATTTTAAAAATTCTTTCAAGTTTCAACAACTATTTTAGAGTGAGAAAATGTTTGATGATAGAAACAATTTTTTTTTACATTGATAATTTTTAATCTTACATTGTTGATGAAACAACAATGAAGTCCATTAATTAATAATTTTTCTATTAATGTTACATTGTTGATGAAAGAAAAATGAATCGGATATTTATGCAAACCAATCAATCTTTAATTGTTTAGAATGATTGTCATATATGTGCCTCTCTGTCTCATAATATGTCCAGCACTATTTTTCATTTATAACAATACATGCTTGAAACGTTGGAAAATCCACTTTGAAACGTTAGCATCTTCATTAATAATTTTATGTTTGTTTATATTATGACAAATGTAGAATTATTGATTTAAGATGCTAGTGTTCGTCGTGTAGTAGATGCTCAATTGACTTCAACAAAACACCGTAGAGACATTTGTCCCCGCCTTATGAGGATAGTTGATGAAGCATGTATGAGTCAAGAAACATACACATTGTTGAGCAAAGTTACTGATTTATTGGACAAGAAAATGTTAGAGTTTCAAAATAAACAAGTAATACTCAAGTTAATGAGTTCCTTAGCAATGTTATAGAGATTGCAAGAAACAATGATGGTTCAACACAAGTAAAGGGGTTCAAGAAAAAAAGAAGGTAGAAAAGGTTCAAAGCGTATGAAAGGTTGGGTAGAATGCCAACTTAGTAAACAGAAGAAAAATGGTGACTCAAGTGCTTCACAACATCAAGAGCTTACTAAGGTATTATAAAATTATGAATTTTACCATGCATTAGCTTACTCAAATACATAAATTCTCCTTTTTTTGTATGCAGAACAATGAGAGCAAAAAAATTTCAAAATTTGTGAAGGGGAGGATAGAGCACAATTCAGAAGTGCCTAATATAAGTGCATCCACATGGCTTAATAATGCATACAAACAACAACAATCTATGGTAAGTTAATAAAAATTTAACTGTGAGTAAACCAAAAAAATATTTGGTGATTAATTGATATTGTCTTTTGTGTAGTAAATCAATGAAATCAATGACATTTCAAGTCAAGTTAGTGTTACTAGTTTTACTAGTTCATTGATGGTAAGTTTGAATAACTTGGATGGGGATATCACAAACATTTCAGCAACTTTCAGATTTTACTGGTTTTCATATATGTATTTAAATTATTAACATGTGTCTTTTAAATTGTAGGCACCATTTGATGGGGATATCACAACTTTGACCAACCCATAAAGATGTAAATTAGAAGCTACAACAACAAGCTACTTGTAATGATTTTTGACCATTTTGTTATGTTATTCAAAATTATTTGCAATTCTGTCCTGCCCCTAATTATGTAGTTCAGTTTATGCATTTTTGTTATTACACACTCTTTGCAATTCTAATTTGCCACTTATTATGCAATTCTATTTACAATTCAGATTATACAGTTCTATTTGACCAATCCTTTTTAGTTTGTGTTACCAATCTATTCCATTTACAACTCAGATTATGCTAAGTTTATAACTTAGATTATGCATGCCAATATGTCCTTTTTAGTTCCATTTAACCAATTCTATTTACAACTCAGATTATGCTAAGTTTAGACAATAACCATTAATAAGTAACTTGTAGTTGTACACAAAACAAATGCAATCAACAACCAACTCAACTTAAAATTGTTACACAAAAGGAATTGAATTTCAAATGAATTGGAGTAGTGCAATATCATTAATTGAAACTAATGTCTGATACAACATTGCAATTACATTTTTCACCCTCTTTGAACTACAAAGACTCGGTGCAATATCAAGAACTTGAGCATTTCCTAATAATTGTCATAGATGCTAATGGCTTGTGCTAGCTTTGCCTAAACTAAATCAAAGGACAAAAAACATGTGAGGATCATCGTTAGTGATCGAAAAGCTTTGGCCCAAGTTCAGCAAAGATCAATAATCCAACACAGTTATGGACTAGGCAGCCAGGCAATGGGGAAGAAACGCAGTTATGGACTAGGCAGCCAGACAATGGGAAAGAAATGCAGTCACAAGCAGCAACACCATTGCCAACAATGCCTGCCAACTAAACACGCAAACCCTTTTCACTTCCTTAGCTTCTAACGCTTCCTCCACCGAATTCTTGAATGCCACCGTGGGAGCATCCTCCTTCGACACCATGCGTCGGCTGTTCATGTGCAGGGGCTACATGTCTCCCGTGTCGTGCAGTAGTGCGTGGTGAACGACACACGGCGTCTCCTCTTCGAATATGCTCTAGTGAGTGCTTGGTATGCTACTCCAATCGGTCCTTCTTCTCCACAGTGGACACGCGACCACGCGTTGGTCTCCTCTATAGCACCAACCATCACCAACCAGGAATCCTTTATGCGCTTGCTTTTCAAAACCATAAACGAAATCGCTACACTTTTTAGATTTAGGGATTTAGAGCACACTCATGAAATGACCCCTTGCGCGAAAATATTAGAGGAAGACGTGTGATAGTGGACTTTCATTTGTAGCCCTTAGATGCATACAAAAAATGAATGGTTATGATGAGAGATGGAGAGACGTTATAGACAAATTGCAGGAGAGGATCCATTCTTGACTTCATAACATTTTGATTTTCATCGTTCTCCTAAATCATTAAAAAATATATATTTAAAATTCTAAAAGAAGTTTCATGATTTTGACGGGTGAAACACCATTCGAGTGTATGAAGGTGTTATTATTAACACTTTGGTCCCTTGGAAAACATTAAAATTAGAAAATGTCTATGAAAGAATAAATTGTTTCTCACGTTAATTTCACTATTAATGGAGCTTCGTTAATCCTAATGTTAGTGCCTATGTGGCATGTTTGTGTGTGTGGCATGTGTGTAGGACGTGTCTGTCCATGTTGGATGCTAGAATGACAATGTCACTATGACTAAGGGCATCTCCAATGGAAGCAACTCATTTGAGTTGCTTCATGCATTGGAAAATGAAAAAAAGTGGTCCCCAGTGTTCCACGTCAGCATTAAGCAACTCAAACAGAAATTTACTCCAATGGTAAGAAACTTTAAGAAATTTAACTTTTAGAATTTTTTTTTCAAATCATTTATGAACCAAATTAAAATTTTTATTAAAAAAGACAATTGCACTACAATAAAAGAAAATAAATACATAAACATTATAAAAAATTAACTTTCTTTTTTTAAAAAAATAACCAACAGCTACTTTAATGGTAATTTTAGGATATATTTTTTTTTATTTTTTTTTATTTTTTAATTTATATTTCTTATTTCTTATTTTTAACCCAACGTCTCTTTTCTTCTTCAAAGGATTTTTCCTTTTTTCTTCACGCCCTCAACGATCCAACAAGCAAAGTCACTTAAAAAAAGGAGAAAAAAGAAAACGCTTCACTAAAGGGCATCAACCTCATTGAAGGCACCAGCCTCCAATTTCCCTTCATTAGCACCACCCTCATCGCCGCTGTCTTCCTTCGCCACTCTGAGCTGCACGTGCTGGAATTCCTTTTGTACCTCGTCCACCCGCGCCTCTGCTGTCCACCCGCGCTCCTCCTCCATTCACCCCCGTGCCTCTACCGTCTAACTGCGCGCCTCCGCCGTCCAACCACTGCCTCACCACCGCACCTGCTTCCGTTCACAAAGATAAGGAACATTTGCTTCACTAAGCAACCCTCTCTCCTCTACAAGAAACTCCCACTGTCACATCAGACCTCTCCAATGGTAAGAAACTGAGGTTGGAATTGCTTGATGGGCCAAGCAACTACCATTGGAGTTGCTCTAAAGTGACAATATATTTTTTCCACCATTTTACTATACCTTAAATATCACATTAGAAGAATCATTTTGTTTTTTACCCTCATACTTTTCATCAACTCTCTATGTTCCATCCCGCAGATAGTGTAAGTCGTGTCCATTTCGACAAAGACATACACATTTACTTTGATCACGCGATCGATGTTGAGCTAGAGATTATTAAATGTGGTTCTCAAGAGGAGATTTGTGTTCCAAACTAAAATGAAACTTTCAAGAATCAAAATGAAATTAAAATAAAAAATTTAGTGATCAAAATTAATATATATATATATATATATATATATTATTTTAGCTTTAATGTTTTATTTTAATTTAATTTAATCTTAGTTCTTAAATATTTTATGTTAGTTTCATTTTGACTCATTCATTTTCATTTTAGCCTCTCAATATTTCATTTGGTCCATGTTAATATGGACACAAGAAAAAAATTACTTTTACTAGTTATTATGATTTTTAAAAGTCTTTATTGACATAATTGTCGCCATCAACAAATAAATAACATAATGCTTAATATGTCATTTCATCATCTATCAACAATATAATTAATGTTCATTAACGATTTTTCATCAATAAAATATATTACAAAGATAATAATAAAATCGGATCGAAACTAAAAAAAAAATTATACTCATAAAGAAAAATCGAATCTACATCCTTATACATATATTTCATCTTCTTTTTTTTATTTCATTTGCGATTTGACTAACTTAACTGTCGAAATAAATATTTAAATTTTTTCACAATTTATTTTTATTTCTACGAACTTGTCACTATTTATTGTTTATTGAATATTGAAAATGGTAACTTGGAGGACGTGATCTTCTTAGAACACGTGTAGCTGAAACTTTCTCGTCTTTTGTTATTATTATTTTCCCCACATATAAAAGTATCCCTGTTCTCGAATCCCGTGTTGGCAGATCCAATAAAAGCACCAAGCCGACACTTTTCTCTCTCTTAGCCTAGTTTTTCCTTCCCCTCACTCTGTCATTTTCTCTTGACTCCTACACTTCACTCCCCAAGCTTTTCACTTCTTCCCCTTTTTTCTCGCTCACCAAACACTCTCTCTCACTCTACAAAGAAAGCTGAGCTGGTTGTGGTTGTTGTGGTCGCCTCACACTCTCACTTCACCACTCTACGCTGGTGAGAGATCACACATCATGTGCATTTTCATGCTAGCTCTTGATGTCTGAAACCTTAACCTTCTCTGCTCATCTCCCAACTCATTCTTATTTCCACGCTTCTTCATTCACCCCTTCTATGCTCCAAACGTTTTCTGTCTCCTGAACTCAGTTTTGCAGCATACCATTGCAGTTCAGTTATCGTCCCTTTTGGCCTTTTTAATGATCCATGCACAACCACTGCCTTAGACTTTGTTTATAGAGGTGAGAAACCGCAAACACACCCTTTCTTAGACATGACAATATATTTGGAACAGCATCTCTGCTTTTCTTCTTCTCTTCTAAAAATTAAGTTTTTCTTTCCAACAAAATGACTTTGTATAGCTTCTGTAGTTTGCTCTCTTATGGGTATAAAGGGGAAAGAAAACAATTTTCTCGTGATTTTTCAGTTGCATGCGAGTTATTTGTCGGCTGATATGCAGGATTATGTTTTGTCATCTTTTTAAAAACAGAAAACTGTGGTTAGTTAATTTTTGTTTTATTTGTATGTTGTGATAATAAGTTTCTAGTTGAACACCATGCGAGTACAAAACGAGGTTACTAATAATATTTTCCTTGTGATTATAGTTACATCCTCTGCAATCATGTTGTGACTATATTCTCACACGGTTAGTTCATTTTCTTGAGTGAATGTTCCTGATATATAATACAGCGTGTATCAACTAGATCATACTACTATTGTTAATATATAGTAATGTAAGGAATTCCGGATTATGCAAGCTATAAAACTGGTTGTGCGAAATGTTGAAGTTGTTGTGATCTTGGATTCTTGGTTCAGTTTTATAATGAAATTACCCTTTAAGTTGGACTTACAGTAACACACTCCCTTTCTACTGGCCCTGACTCCATGCAGATTCCTCCCTTTGAAAGGTTTCGTAGCATCATGGATCAAAAAACGTGGCTTTGGAGGAAAAAATCCTCCGAAAAGACAATTATAGCAGCTGACAGTAGCGATCTCACTTCAAAAGAAAATGAAGAGGTAATTTGACTATTCTTAGCATCAATTATTCAATTCTTATCAATACAATTTATATCATGATTAAGCTGACTGCTTGTAACCTAACTTTTTCCTCATTTGTCAGACTCCTAATTAAGAATATTAATTTAGTACTTCATCAATTAACAATATTTCATTTCTTGTTAGTAAGAATGATAATTTAGAAAAACACTTCTTGGATCATTTCTTCTGAATTATTATGATTATAAAATGGTAAATATAATTTTGGTTGCAACTATTTACCAAATTTTGAGGACTATTTGAGATTTAGTTTTTTCTTTATTAATTGATAAAAATAAGTGATATTTTGTCTTGTTTTGCATTTTCCATTTTAGGTACAGGCACTTGTAGCTGATAAAGAAGAGTTGGAGAAAGATCTGAAAAGATTAAACAACAAACTTTCTTCGGCACTTTCTGACTGTAATTCTAAAGACGAGCTGGTGAAGAAACAAACAAAAGTTGCACAAGAAGCAATGGCAGGTAATATTCGTACATGTCTCTCTGTCTTCATTTATCCTTTTTCCTTCCCTTGGAACCTTGGACATGAAAAACAGATAAATAACAGCTTATCAGTAAAATGCTTTTAGAGTACTTCTACCAATCTCTGATAACTTCTTTCTTTTGAAGGTTGGAAGAAGGCTGAAGCTGAAGTGTTGTCTATGAAGCATGATCTGGATGAAGCTTTGCAGCAGCGAATAGTTTATGAAGAAAGAGTAGCCCATTTGGATGGAGCTCTCAAGGAATGTATGCAGCAGTTACGATTTGTTCGAGAAGAACAAGGGCAAAGGATTCATGATGCTGTGATAAAGACTTCAAAGGAATTCGAAAAAGAGCGTGTCAGTCTGGAGGAGCAGTTATCTGAGACGAGTAAAAAACTTGCAAAAGCAGAGATTGAAAATTCTCATCTTAATAAATCCATTTTTGCAAGAGAAAAATTGATTGAAGATCTGAAAAGACAGTTGACTCAAGCTGAGGCAGATCATAATGCACTGATGATTAGATTAGAGTCCACTGAGAAAGATAATGCCTCTCTGAAGTATGAGGTTCGTGTGCTTGAAAAGGAACTTGAGATTCGAAATGAGGAGAGGGAATTTAATCGTCGGACAGCTGATGCTTCTCACAAACAGCACTTGGATAGTGTTAAAAAAATTGCCAAGTTAGAATCAGAATGTCAGAGGCTGCGCCTTCTGGTTCGTAAACGGTTACCAGGTCCTGCTGCCCTTGCAAAAATGAAAAATGAAGTTGAAATGTTGGGCCGGGACTCATTTGAAATGAGGAGGAGCAAATTGAGCTCCACGAGTTTAGTAGTTGACTCTTCAGTTGACACTTCTCCTGAGACTCCCATTAGAAGAATCAATACGTTAAATGAGCAGTTATCTGCTGTGGAAGAAGAAAACAAGACTTTAAAAGAATCACTAAATAGGAAAATGAACGAGCTCCAATTCTCAAGAGTCATGCTTTCTCGCACAGCTTCCAAACTTTTGCAACTTGAGTCACAGATTGAAGAATCATCTAAAGGTCATGTAACTCTCGAACATCCTAGAAGTAACCTCCTGTCACATGAGTTCTCTTTGGGATCAATGTCTGATGCTGGAAGTGATGACAAGGCTAGCTGTGCGGAATCCTGGGCTTCTGCATTGATTTCAGAATTGGAGCACTTTAAAAACGGAAAGCAGAAGGACTCAATGTCATGCAGAAGTGTTGGAGCTTCAGACATAAATCTCATGGATGATTTTGTTGAAATGGAAAAATTAGCAGTGGTGTCTATTGAAAAAGCCACTGAAATCTCTCCCACTTCTTTGAAAGCAGTTAATGAGATCAATGGTTTCTCAGAGATTGGTACAAAGGATACCACCCCTGAAGTAGAAGGTAAGGAGATTATTTCAGTGTCTGATCACATTTCGACTGGGACAAGTGAGACCACCCCTGAAGTAGTAGGTATGGAAATCATTCCAGTGTCTGATCACATTTCAGATTCAGACCTCTCAAATTCAAATAAGAAAACCTGTTCCATTGAGATATTAAAGGGCAATGTTCCTGGTTGGCTTCAGGATGTAGTAAAAATAGTCTTGGAACAAAACCATGTCACTCACAAAAGCCCTGATGATATACTTGAGGATATTAGAGTAGCTCTGAGGCATGTGAATAATCACGATCTGTGTGACTTTGGTTCAAGCAAAGGCTCTGGTCATACTGACACACAGTGTAGTTGCATCTCATGGAATCATTCAAATAATTCTTTGGTGGTAGATCCAACTGGTGATGAAAATAATGCTGACATCCCATCAATAAAGAGAATCCAACCACAATCTCAGGAAGACTCAAGTAAATCAATCGGAAAGATAATTGAGATTGTTGAAAGAATCAGCCTGCTTGCTGTGGATTATAATAGTTCAGATCCCTTGCGAGAAGGAGATGGGGATATCCTTTCGTACAAGAATCTTGGAATGCCG